CATCAGTTGTTTTCATACACAGTTAAAATAATGTGTGATCTTTATACATAAGGAATATGGGCAAAGAGTAAAAATTTGAGAGTAGAAGACCAGCACTGTCAAGAAAAAAAAAGGATCTGAAACCAGAAGAGCCTAGTCTTCTACATGGTCATAAACCTCCGGTTACATACTCTGATAGCAATACTTAAGGTAATTCAGCTCTGATTCCATTTTCATTAGGCAAGCTTCTGAAGAGAGGAGAAAAACTGTGCTAAAGCCTGCTAATTGTCCCCAACACGTCTATCTTTCTTCCATAATGAAAACAGACACAGTTCAAACCCACCAGTTGCTCCTTAGTAATCCTATACAGGGTTGATATGAGCCGGAACCGACTTGACAGCACTTTCCTATAACAACTTTCATGCTACAAAGCCAAAGTCAGAGCCAACTGAAAAAACCTGGCTCTCAAAACCTGGAATATTTACTAGCTGGTTCTTAGAGACAGTTTGTTATAATATAGATTATAACAAGTAGCAATGACTGATACTTGCGTGCACAGCACTATTCCAAATGCATTAATTACATTACCTCATTTAATATTCACAACTACTTTGTGAAATATTGTCATTCTTATTTTACAGCTGAGAAAACCAAAGCAAAAATGTGAAGTAACTTGCCAACAGTGTCCCAACTAGTAAGTGACGCCCAAGCTAGTAAACTGACAGAGATGGGATCTTAACCATTAAAGAAAAAATAAAAATTCTTAAGGAAGATGTTCATGACAATATTAGAAACAACATAAGGTTTCTGGATAGCTGTTGCATATGTCACATAACAACCTGTAACATTACATAATAATGATCGCAACTCAGGAACAAAATTGTTGTTGTTAAGTGCCGTCGTGTCTGTTCTGACCCATAGCAACAGGGTTTCTGAGGCTGTAAATATTCACGGGAGCAGATAGCCTCATCTTTCTCCCACAGAGCAGCTGGTAGTTTCGAACTGCTGACCTTATGGTTCGCAGCCCGATTTGTAACCACTGCCCTACCAAAGTTCCAGGAACAAAATAGATTTAAACAAAACGGTGGTGCTATTCCAAGTCTAGAGACCATTTCTGGTGCCAAACAAGATGGCAGATGTTCCTTTATCCCTGGTCTCCCCTTTAAATACAACTAGAATGGCCAGATAGTTGAACAATCATAAAAGGACACGGAAAAGAGAAAGGGAAAGTGACTAGGCACCTCAGTACTTGAAGAATAACATGGCAGTAAATTCCTTGGAATTTCCTTTTAATCTCATCTATCCCAGACTAAGCACTAAAGTTGTATAACCTAGAACTATCAACAGGTGTAAACAAACAAACAAACAAAAAGCCTTTGAAAGCCTGCTTTCTCTGGCCAACAGAACACGAAAGGGGCAGCTTAGCAGAGCAGAGACCTAGCAAGAAGCCCATTCCTATACTCCCTACCTGGAGTTGCAGGTAGGCCCACTATGCCCAAAACAGCAACACCAATAAACAGCAAATACAGAACTCCATCCTTCACCACACTCCTAGTACAGTAGGTAAGCCCATGCTACCTACTCCAGCATACCCAGCCTCTTCATCCAGCAGCAAAAGGCAGCCCAGGACTGTTACTTGCATCCCCACACACAATATTGGAAGAGATTAAATGGGAGCCCCACTGGTAGCAGAAAGCTCACAGGGTGAGTCTGGAAAAGCACTCCTCACTTCACAGGCCCAGCACCTCTCTCCTTCCATACAGCAGCACCGGGTCTAGGGACACACACTCAATGTTCACATGTGGTACCAGCAGGTATTTAGTGGGAGGCCAGCAGCACCAGATGAACAAAGTAATCTAGAATAACACTACAAGGGTTCCAGTAGTCAAATTTTCATTGGAACCACAGTCTATAAGAGTAAGACTGGACCTATACTCCAAACCTACATAGGGCATCTGCCTGAACAGGTTGTTGTGTTATTTGCCAACAAGTTGGTTCTGACTCTATACATGACAGAATGAAACAGTGTCCAGTTCTCAATCTTCACAATTGTTACCATGTTTGAGTCCATCATTACTGCAACTGTGTCAATCTATCTTATTGAAGGTCTTCCTCTTTTTCTCTGACTCTTCAATTTTTTAAGCATGATGCCCTTCTCCAGAAACTGGTCCCGGCTAACAATATGTCCAAAATCCGAAAGATGGAAGTCTCATCATCCTCGCTTCTAAGGAGCATTCAAGCTATTCTTCTTCCAAGACAGCGTTGTTGGTCTCTGAAATCTCTGGTACTTTCAATACACTGTTCCAAGATCATAATACAAATGACTCTATCCTTCTCCAGTCTTCTTATTTCCTTTCCAAGTTTTCATAAACATATGAGGCAACTGGGTCAGGTACATCTTAGTCCTCCAAGTGAAATCTTAGCTCTTTAACATCTGCTAAGTATATGATTTAAAATAGGATCAAGGCTTTCCTTATAAGAAAGGACCTTCCACAGAGCCTTCTGAGTGACTATAGCCCTAATTACACACTGATTTTGGACTTCTAGTTTCCAGAACTGTGGTGGTGGGTGGTTATGTGCTGTGGAGTTGGTTCCGACTCATAGCAACCCTGTACAGGGTTTCCGACGCGGTACATTTTCATGGAAACAGAAACCCTCATCTTTCTCCCGCAGAACAGCTGGTAGTTTCGAACTGCTGACCCTGAGGTTAGCCGCCCAATTCATAACCACTACGCTACCAGAGCTCTAAAACTTGTAAAACAATACATTTCTATTGTTCTAAGCCACATACACACACAAAAAGTCTCCCAAAATAAAACAAAACATAAATTTCCAGGATATAATTTCTAAAAATAACATATCAAAAACCTGGATAAACTTGAATTAAAAAAAAAAAAACTTAACTGATGTCAACAATGAATCAAAATTTGGAATTATTTCACAGAAAAATTTAAAGCAATCTTAAAAATGTTTCACTATGCAATTACAAACAAAACAAACAAACAAACAAATAAACAACATTCTTATCAATGGAGAAAAGATTGAAGTTGTCAAGGACTTCATTCTTCTTGGATCAACTATCAACACTCGCGGAAGTAGCAGTCAAGAGATCAGACGATGTATTGCACTGGGCAAATCTGCTGCACAGGAACTTTTTAAAGTATTGAAGAGTAGAGATGTCAGCTTGAGGACTAGGGTGCGCCTGACCCAGGCCATTGTGTTTTCAATAGCCTCATATGGATGCGAAAGCCGGACAGTGAATAAGGAGGATCGTAGAAGAATTGATGCCTTTGAGTTGTGGTGTTGGAGGAGAATACTGAAAGTGCCATGGACTGCCAAAAGAACCAATAGATCTGTTTTGGAAGAAGTGCAGCCAGAGTGCTCCTTAGAGGCCAGGATGGCTAAACTTCGTCTCTCCTACTTTGGACATATTGTCCGGACGAAACAATCGCTGGAGAAGGATATCATGCTGGGTAGGGTGGAGGGTCAGAGAAAAAGAGGAAGACCCCCAACGAGATGGATCAGCCAGGTGGCATCATTGATGGACTCAAGTGTGGCAGCGGTAGTGAGGTTGGCCCAGGATCGAACATTGTTTCGTTCTGCTGTGCATAGGGTCGCTATGAGTCGGTTCCGACTCGATGGCACCTGACAACAACATGCAATTACAAATTTTCAAAACAAATGAACAATCAAAAATGTCAGCAAAAAAATTATAGTAAAACTAAAACTGAAAAGAAATCTCTGGGTGGGTTCTATAGTAAAACAGAGACAAGACAGCACAGAATCTGTGCACATGAGACCACATCAATAGGATTTACTTAATCTGAACTAAAGACAAGGAACAGACTAGGGAAGAAAAAAAAAAAATGAATAAATTGAGCCTCAGTAGCTCTGGGTGCAAAGCCTAACAATGAAAAAAATCCAACTTCCACATCATCAGAGTTTCAGGAGGAGAAGAAAAGAAGGTGGGGTTGGAAAAGTACTCAAAAGAAATAATGGATGAAAACTCTCCAAATTTGGTGAAAGACAAACACCTACAAATTCAAGGAGCTTAGCAAGTTCCAAGTAAGATAAACCCACATAAATTCACATTTAACTTCTGAAAACCAAAAGACAAAGTAAAAAAATCTTGACAATAACCATTAAAAAAAAAAAAAAAATTCATTAGCTATAAAGGAACACCAATTCAAATGACAATAGATTACTCATCTGAAATCATAGAGGTCAGAAGCAGGCAGCACATCTTTCAATTGCTAACAGAAAAGAACTGTCAACCATGAATTGTATATCCAACGAAAATATCCTTCAGGAATTAAGGTATATTAAAAAGACATTTTCAGATGAAGGAAAACACAGTCCGGGGACTGAACACTTAGACAACACATTCTCATCCGTACTCAGGGATTGAATAAATGTGGACAGCCAGCGATGCTTAAATGAAGAACAAAGTTCACAGCTCTAAAAATATCCTCTTTGCTGTAGACAAAATTATATATGCAGTATTATTTTAAATATTGTTTTTAAATACATGAAAGAACTTAGAAAACAATATTCAAAGTACTATCCGTGATTATCTTCTGGTACGAAATTACGGATTTCCCAACCCCCCCACCCCCATTTTTGTATGTTCCAATTTGAAAGTTGTTGTTGTTGTTGTTATGTGTTGTGGAGTCGGTTCCAACTCATAGCGACCCTGTACAGGGTTTCCGAGGCTATAAATCTTTACGGGAGCAGAAAGCCTCATCTTTCTCCCTGGAACAGCTGGTAGTTTCAAACCGCTGACCCTGAGGCTCGCAACCCGATTCGTAACCACTACGCTACCAGAGCTCCTTAATTTGAAAGTAGTACATACTTATTATTTTTTGAATGCTTATTAATAAAATGAAACTAACTAGAATGTAATGCAACTTGTGATACAAACAGCCATTAATCAGAGAGCATGATTGTGCAAAACAATGGGGCCTGGGCACAATGGCAAGATATACACAATGACCACTGCACTTTTCTTGTCATTTACATACCTGTGAATCTGTCCATTTTTATGCAGGTATTCCAAGCCTTCTAGAACTTCTTTGAGTATTGTAGCAATGGTAGGTTCATCGAGGACTCCACTTTTGTGTTCCCCCTTTGCCACAATGTACTTAATAATATCCAGAACAGATCCTAAAGCAGAAGACAGTTTTCCATAAATGTTTACATCATTCAATATAAGTCAGAGTCATTTTAGAGTCAAAATACATGTAAACTTTTTCATAAACTTAACTGTACAGGAAAGAACCGGGGAAAGCACACAGGAAGTGCAGAAACTTAAAATTAACAGCTTATTTTTTATTTCAATCTAAAACAAAAAAAAAAGCACTTTGTTAATATCCAAACAATACTGTTAATATCAGCATCTTATTTAGGCTGCTCACAATGGGTAGGAACCGACTCGACGGCATTTAACAACAAATGAGAATTTGGAAGACATGCTAGAGGATTTTTAACTACCTCTTAAGTGTCCAGGTAAATCATGCTCATCAACAACACTCTACCACACGATATCACAAAGCAACATTAGGGTAGAGTATGCAATGCTGTGTGGATAAAAACTTACTGGGAAGAAATACTTGGAAAGTAAAGACTGTGTCTGTATATAAGGTAACTTAAAGGTTAAAATTATTTTTCAAGTTAATAAAAACTTTAGAAATAAAACAAGCAAAGAAAAAGAAATAATAGAAGTTGTGATAGATAGAGTAATAAATATTTTCGCAACTGCTATACAGCCCCATTTTTCCTAGAATATAAAACAATGTTCCTCCTGATAGCATAGATTACGAACGAGGCTGCTAACTGCAAGGTCAGCAGTTTGAATCTACCAAGGCTGCTAATTGCAAGATCAGTCTCAAAAGCCCTATATAAGGTTGCTATGAGTGAGAACAGACTTGACATCACACAACCACCAAAGATGGGAAAATAGGACATCTGCATATTAATTAAAATCCCAAGAATGCTAACTACCAAAACTGATGATTACAATAAAGCTTACTAGGGATTCCTACGATTTCTGGCAGTACAATGGCCCATAGATTAGAGGAGAAAAACAAAACCACCTCCAATAACAGAAATTGTGCCAAGAAGTATGGCAGAGTGCGGAGCGAGACAGCAAAAGCTGTCACCCAACAACAAATCTAGAAGTAAACAAGGAAAAAATTGAAGGAAATCAGTGGTCTTATATCAGTCAAAGGATCAGAGCATCAGTGTTACCACTGAAGCAAGATATTATCGTTGTTATGTGTCGCCAAGTTGGTACCAACTCATAGCTATCCTGTATAGGTTTTCCGAAGAGCGGCTGGTGACCTTAGGGTTAGAAGTCCAGCGCATATTCTACAACACCAGGTGACAACAGACAAACAGTAACAAGCAGTGGAGTTCTAACTATCCGTACCCCATCACCCTCTCCAGCTCAGCATGACTTATTTTGTGGCACTCTCAGGCAAGTGATCTCTGTTGAAGCAAATCAGACAGCATCTCCAGGCAGGAAGCCTAGCAATGAAAGGCTAGTGGGTGGCCCGTTTAAGAAAAGAGGCAAGTAGTGAAATAGCAATGGTTGGCACTCCTAGGCACAAACTCTGGTGGTGACTCTGCAATAGCTGTTGCTTCCCGGTGGGCAGTCTGCTACTAGAGCTATACAGCTGGCACTCTTGAGCAGGAAATCTTGTGTTTTATCTGTGACAGCTACCAAACCCAGACTGGAAGTCTAAAGTCACCACTCCACAGCCAGCACCCCCATATGGAGAATCTGGTGATAAATTTGTAACAGTTGCCACTCCCAGGTGGCAAGTCTAGGAGCGGAGTTGCAGAGCTGGCGATCCTAGGTGGAAGGTCTCTTGGTAACTCTGCAACACCTGTCATTTTTCAGTGGCGAGTCTAATGGTAAGCTACACAACTGCCATTCCCAGGGAGTAGTACATGAATCTATCACAGCTGATGCTCCCAGGTAGGAAATCTGCTGTTGGAGTGGCATATCATGCCCCACAGTGAACAGAACTGTGGTGAATTTGTGACAGCTGGTATCCCAGATGAAGAATCCAGTGGTAAATCAATGGCAGCCCAGGTTGCCAGATGATGAGTTGTGCTACAGTGGCACAGCCAGTGCTACTAATCAAGAATCCTAACAGGGAAGCAGCCAATCAATTGCTCTAAGGCAGATTTTGGTGCCACAATAGTTTAGCCAGCACTCACATTCAAGTAACTTAGTGGTATGTAACAGAGACAGCCACCGGTCCCAAGCAGGGAGCCCAAGCAGCGAAGCAGCTACAGCAGGTACACCCAAGGCAGAGAATCTGGTGTTGGAATGGAGAACAATGTAAAGGAGTAACAATGCTATGAAGAGCAAACCCTAGAAAAGTAGAATCAGATTTCCAGAGTTAACACATAAAATGGTTAAATGTCCCAGTTCCAAAAAGATATATTAAGAGGCATATTATATGAGACAATGGTTCATGTAAGAGACTAAAATAAAGTGATAGAAACTGTTTCTAAAGAAAGACAGTGAAGTTACTAGAAAAGGATTATGAAACAATAGTGATAAGTATGCTGAAAGAGATTAAGAAATATGAACTAAGGACTGAAGAAAATGATGCAAAATCAATATAAGAATTCTAATAATGAGATGTTAGGTGCCATTGAGCAACAATTTCAACTCTTATTATATCAGCCCTATGCACAACAGAACAAAACACTGCCTGGTCCTGAACCATCCTCACAACTGTCACGTTTGAGACCACTGTTACAGCCACTGTGTCAATCCATCTTGTGGAGGTTCTTCCCGTTTTTCGCTGATCCTCTCCTTTGCCAAGCATGATATCCTTTTCCAGGAACTAGTCCCTCCTGAGAACATGTGCAAAGTATCTGAGATGAAGTCTCAACATCCTCACTTCCAAGGAGCATTTTGGATCCACTTTTCAATTCTTTACCAACCCTGTAAGTCAAATGCATCGATTCTTCTTTACTCTTCCTTATTCATTGCTCAACTTTCACATGCATTATCAGGTGATTCAAGATACTATGATTTGGGTCAGGTGCACCTTAGTCCCTACACTGACATCTTTGCTCTTTAATACTTAAAGATCTTTTGCAGATTTGCCTAAATGTCTAAATTTCTTGATTGCTTCCATGAACCTTGATTGTGGATCCCAGCAAAATGAAATCTTTGACAACTTCAACCTTCTCTCCATTTATCGTTATGTTATTTATTGATTTATTTAGTTGTAAGGATTTTTATTTTCTTTACATTGAGATGCAATTCATACTAAAGGCTGTCATCTTTGATCTTCATCAATACTTTAAGCCATCACTTCCAGCAAGCAAAGTTGTATCGTCTGCATACTGCAGACTATTACTGAATCTTCTTCCAATCCTGGTGTCACACTCTTCTTTGTATAGTCCAGCTTCTCAGATTACCTGCTCAGCATACAGATTATTAAGTATGATTTTAAACCATTCAGTATCAGTTTGTTCTGTTCAAATGATCTATGTACAAGTTCCTCAAGACCATGATTAAATTCTGAATTCTCATTTCTTTAAAATGTCATCCATAATTTGTAATGATCCATACAACTGAATGCTTTTGCATAGTCAATAGAACAAAAAGTAAACATCTTTCAGGTGTTCACTATTCAGTCGAGGTCCATCTAACAACAGCAATTATATCCCTCATTGCACGTCCTCTTCTGAATCTGGCTTGAATTTCTGGAAGCTCCCTGTCGATATACTGCTGTAACCATTTCTGAGTTATCTTCAGCAAGACTGTATTTGCATGTGATATTAATGATACTGTCGATGATTTTAGTATTCTGCTGAGTGACCTTTCCTTGGAATGGGTGCTAAGGATCTCCTTCAACCTGTTGCCCAGGTAGCTGTCTTCCAAGTTTCATGGCACATACAAGTGAATGCGTCTAAAGCTGCCATCAGTTTAGTGAAAGATTTCTATTTGTATCCTGTCCGTTTCTGTCCACTAATGTTCCCCAATGCCTTCAGTGCAGCTCGGAGTTCTTCCTTCAACACCATGGGTTCTTAATCATATGGTACACCTCTTGAAATGGTTCAATATTGACTCATTCTTTCTGATACAGTGACCCTGTGAATCTCTTCCATTTTCTTTTGATCATTCTTATGACATTAAATAGTTTGCCCAAAGGATCCTTCAGTATTTCAAGTCAAGGCATGGATTTTTCCTTCAGTTTTTTTTCAGCTTGAGAAATACTGAGAATGCTATTCCCTTTTGGTTTTCTAACTCCAGGTCTCGGCATTTGACTTTATTACTTGAATATGTCCTTGAGAGCTGTCCTTTGAAATTTTGTTTAGTTCTTTTACTTCCTCATTCCTTTCAGTCATTTTAGCTTTACTCTCAAGAGCAAGTTTCAGAGTCTCTTCTGACATCCACTTTTGTCTTTTTTTTCTTTTCTTGTGTTTTTAATGGCCTTTTGCTTTCTTCATGTATGATGTTTTTGAATTCATCCCACAAGTCCTCTGATAGTCATTAGTGCACAATGGTCAAATCTGTTCTTGAGATGGTCTCTAAATTCAGGTAGGATATATTCATATTTTTGGCTCTTGTGGATTTTATTCACAATCTGTACTTGCATATGAGCAATTAATGATCTGTTCTAGAGTCAGCTCCTAGCCTTGTTTTGCTTAATGACACTGAGCTTTTCCAGCTTCTTTTTCCACAGATGCAGCAGATCTGATTTATGTGTGTTCCATCTGGTGAGGTCTACATGTATCATCATGGTTTTTGTTATTGAACATGACCTTGGTGACAGAAGCAACACTGGAGATTATATGATAGAATTTCACAAGGCCAATGACTTAAAAACAGGAAGAACCAGTCACTGGAGAAGGACATTATGCTTGGTAAAATGGAGGGCCAGTGATAAAGAAGCAGACCCCAACGAGATGGATTGGCACAATGGCAGCAAGCAATGGGCTCAAGAATAACAATTGTGAGGACGTCAAATGACCAGGCAGTGTTTCATTCTATTGTCAGAGAGTCACCATGAGTCAGAGCCAACTCAATGGAACCTAACAAACGTTACTGAAAAAGGTATTTGTGATTAATAAGTCATTTGTCTTGCAAATGTCTACCATGTTACATGTTATTTCCAGCATTGTTTCTCTCA